CATTAATTAGTAGAAATCTCGATAACTTTTTCAAGGGAGTGTATCGGATTTTGTAGGCGGTGCGTTTGGTCGTCGATTTGGCGTAACTGGTGGCTCGCCCGCGCGTGCTGGCACTATCATCAGATAGGGGAAATTTTCCTTTACCTGCTGGTGGTGTTGATAAGCGTGTGCGAGCTGCCGTTTACGCCGGATCGACGATTGGATGCATTGTTTGCAGGAGCTGGTGCTTCCCTTTGAAAAAGTAATCGAGAAATAACCATATTATTATCCTGTAATTGATATTACTATTTTTATATATCAATGAAATTAGTCATGACAGAGTAACAGACGAGTTTAAAAACAGATGGGGAAGGACAATAGACACAAGTTTACACAATAAACAAGACAAGTGGGGGTTAATACACAAGACAAAATGACAAAATAAGTGACGACAGAAGACAAGACTGGGACAAAAATCAACCTTAAAAAAAAAAAACAAGAATACGCTATTATATTATCAAAACTATTTGGATCAGCACAAAACACCAGTGACCAAACGGGCACCATAGCCTACACAGAAACAAAATCCATTGGCAAAAATACTATATTGATGGTTTAAATTAAATACTCCCACCAATAGATTTGTGCAGAAACGAAATTCGTTTAATTTGACTATTTTTTCTTTCAAAACTACTATGCCGTTTGAGTCAGCATAGTAGTTTAGACAGAATGGTAGTAAATTTGATTATATTTATAGTCAACTATACTGAAATCATGGTAGATTTAACGGTATTAAGCGTAGTTATACTGAAAATAAGTGTTTTCTGCAAAATAGTATTCCTAACTATTATCTTTGTTTCAGTGTAGGACCGTCTGCGTGTTGATTTAAAATAGAGGCTCATAGAAGCAAAATTTATCAATAAAAAGGGTCCAGTGTAGAGTTTAAGCAAGTTGCTGCCACTGTGATTACCACAAAAAAAAGAGAACATAATTAATTCGTTATACCCCAGACAGACTATGGCTTATATCATGTAATATAGGCTGCCTTGCAATGAGCACTCATACATCTAGTTTTCACTGGAAATCCTATGTATGAGTGCTCATTGCAAGACAGCCTATATTACATGATATAAGCCATAGTCTGTCCGCCCGCATAAACGCGAACCATAAATTGACCTTACCTAAAATGGTTAAAAATTGTTTATAATCCCTGCTAAACTTTAACTGAAATGGTTATGGAACTTTACATGAACGTTTAATGATAAAGTTTCAACCTTATGTATTATGGTTTTTTGGAACTGGACCTTACAAATAATGGGTTGTTAAGAACCATTACCGTTCCAAATTCTTGTTTTCTCCATACATTTTCGGAAAGAGAACTATATTAGAACCTTTTAACTTATGGTTTGAGAACTTTAATGGTAATGGTTATGGTAGTCAATAAGGTCCACGAATGGTTTTGTAACATCGATCAACTTTATGTGGAATATATCGCGAATTGGTTGCGTGTAATTTACTGATTACCAATTCACGATATATTCCACGTAAAGTTGAGCGATAATACAAAACCATTAATGGACCTTACTGACTACCATAACCATTACCATTAATGTTCTCAAATCATAAGTAAAAACGTTCTTATATAGTTCTCTTTCTGAAAATGTATGCACGGCGAATGAGAACGACTCAAATTTGAGTTTAGTTCACTCATAATCGCCAAAAGTGCAGGAACTCAGCGATGAGTTAATTTGCCTCATGTTTTTCCAGGATTTTCCAGGGAAAAATTCCTGAATTTGAGAAAAGTAAAGATTGGATTCACTCAGTCTATTGGTACTACTCCGAGACTGAATAAAATTTTCGTCAATTTCCTCATTTTCCGGCAGATTTTTTAGGTTTTCCACAGGAAACCATGAGACAAATTTTACTCATCGCTGAGTTCCTGCACTTTTGGCGATTATGAGTGAACTAAACTCAAATTTGAGTCGTTCTCATTCGCCGTGTGGAGAAAACAAGAATTTGGAATGGTAATGGTTCTTAACAACCCATTATTTGTAAGGTCCAGTTCCAAAAAACCATAATACATAAGGTTGAAACTTTATCATTAAACGTTCATGTAAAGTTCCATAACCATTTCAGTTAAAGTTTAGCAGGGATTATAAACAATTTTTAACCATTTTAGGTAAGGTCAATTTATGGTTCGCGTTTATGCGGGCGGGGTATTAAGTATACGATAAAGAAGGGAATATTCCCTTCTTTTAATATATAAGGAAAATATATAATCAATAGTTTTTCGCAAGGGATTCGGGGTAATGCCCATTCGGGATAATAACGTGTGAAATAATGTTATAAATTTGTAATCGGTAGTTCAACGTTCCATGCACTGATTTTTTAATCCATCATGTCAGGGGCGACCCCGGCGTAGTGGTTAGCATCCATACCTCTCACGCCAAAGTCACGAGTTCAAATCTCACCCCTGGACAAGTCACAAATGACCCAAGAGTGTTAAAGTGACTATAATAAAAAAAAAAAAAAAAAAAAAAATCCATCACGAGAAATTCTTCAACTCAGGTCGAACAATTCTTCGATAAGGTTTAACAGTTTCCGACTGGTTGAATTGGATTGCATAATAGACCCTTTGACTTTTTAAATGATGAACGAAGTGCTCGAAAACTTGTAGGTTGTCATTTGATAAAGAGCTAAAAATGGGTTGGAATTGATAAATACATAGTTCCATAAAAGTAAACATAGTGTATTATCAATACTAAAAAAAAAAGAAAAGTGAAAATTACTAATTTTATCTTTTTTTCTGGGGTACATTCTGGGGAACACTGAGGCAAATGGACTCAAGAATTTCATAAGGCTCGACATATGAACGAGGTAGCCTTTAGCCATTCCATTTTCGCAAGCGTTGATAAACGAGTGGTTTAGACACAGGACCCGTAGTCTCTCAACGTCCATGGTTCGGTTCCAGTCTGCTACGTTTAAATATTTTTTTTTGTCGACATTATTTTTCATAAGGCAAATCTATGAAATTCATATCGATTTCTTGTGGCTAAAATTCATAAGTGGTTCTTATGGAATTCTTAAGTTCTTTTGCCTCGGTGAATTGTTTTTCTGGGGAATGGTTTTCTGGGGAATGTTATAGAATCGTTTTTATGTGTCCCGCACATGAATTTTTGCAATGTGATCAACAAATGATATCTATATGTCGGACACATACTTAATATGTGTACACATAAAAGTCATGTGTGTGATTTGACTCATAAATTTCATGTGTGCTTCTGGGTGGATTCTGTTTATATGTGGTCACATGAAAATCATGTGGAAATTTATATGGACATTCGTGAATAAAAATATGTGGAATGCTATTAGTGCACTATTATAGGAACCAAAGTTAGCAACTACCACAACTACTGGAACAGTGTTCCTACTAATGGAGGACGAGTTTTCTAAAATTATATGCAATTATATTACAAAGTAATATTTTTCTATCAAAATAGAGGTTGAAAGCTATAAATTGACGTATAACGATTGTGTGTACATCGTATATTTATTTTTTTAATTAATAAATTGGCTTAGTGCCTCCACTACTGCCCGCATAAACGCGAACCATCACATGACCTTACCGATAATGGTTATAACACAAACGAAGTGACAGACGGAGCGGCTCGAAAACTTTGGTGACGCACCTGCTATTGCAATTTTTCAGTGTACCACATGGCAACACCACTACTACTGGATTGTACCACATGGCAACACTACTACTAGATTTAACTAGCATTTTCACCAAATGTACTAGAATGTTTTGGTTCTATCTCTTTCACTCTACTCAAAACTGAAATGCATAAAAAAATGACAAAATGATACGCACTCTTTGCACACTGTCAAAGAATCATTGTACCCAAAATCAACTTTGTTCAAATCAAAACAAAAAAACTAACCCATCTGGTGGATGATGGCATAAGCTTCCAAGAAAATTCTATTACAGTGAACCACATTATTTAAATGGATTTCTTCGCCAGTTAGTCGTCTGTCACTTCGTTTGTGGTTATAAATTGTTTATAATCCCTGCTAAATTTCAACTGAAATGGTTATGGAACATTACATGAACGTTTGTGTGATAAAGTTTTAACCTTATGTATTATGGTTTTTTGGAAGCGGACCTTACAAATAATGGGTTGTTAAGAACCATTACCATTCCAAATTCTTGTTTTCTCCATACATTTTCGGAAAGAGAACTATATTAGAACGGTTTTACTTATGGTTTGAGAACATTAATGGTTATGGTTATGGTAGTCAGTAAGGTCCAATAATGGTTTTGTATTATCGCTCAACTTTACGTGAAATATATCGTGAATTGGTAATCAGTAATTTACAGGCAACCAATTCGCGATATATTCCACATAAAGTTGATCGATGTTACAAAACCGTTCATGGACCTTACTGGTTACCATAACCATTACCATTAATGTTCCCAAACCATAAGTTAAAAGGTTTTAGTATAGTTTTCTTTCCGAAAATGTATGGAGAAAACAAGAATTTTGAATGGTAATGGTTCTTAACAACCCATTATTTGTAAGGTCCACTTCCAAAAAACTATAATACTTAAGGTTAAAACTTTATCATTAAACGTTCATGTAAAGTTCCATAACCATTTCAGTTGAAGTTTAGCAGGGATTATAAACAATTTATAACCATTATCGGTAAGGTCAATTTATGGTTCGCGCTTATGCGGGTGGCTCACCCACCCTATATTAGTTTTTTTTGCTCAATTCCTTTCCGTGTTCCCAACTCTGTAGAAGTGGTTATATTTTAATCTTCGATGAGTTTATGAATCTGTCCGTGTACACCATGCGATGTTGCATGTCAGCCAGCACCGCCAGCACAACACCTTTGCGACATACAACCATGCAACAAACAAAAGTATGTCAAAATTTTCAAAGCCGAAGTGAAAACAAAACAATTATTATTGTTGATTTTATCGTCAGTAAGCTGTTTTCGTGAAATTTGTGATAGAATCCGGGATTTTCACTAGCAAAATGAATTCTAATGTGATATGCAGAGTTTGTGCAAATGTCTTACCGACGGAAGAGGATCTGCTCAAGTTTGATGCTGTTTCCGATATCTACTACAGGCTTACTGCCTTGCAGGTTTGCTTAATTTGCTTACGTTATACGTATTTGGTTTGGTTGGTAGGTAATAGCAGTAATCCGGGTGTCCTATTTTCAGCCAACGGAAGCTATTCTACTTGATGGGACCTGTCAAGATTGCTACGACAAGCTGCTCCTGTTCGATAGTTTCCGGACCATGTGCCTGGATGTGCACGATCAGCTTAGTAATGCAAAGGTAGATGGAAATTACCACGCTGTTATATATAATATTGAGTAGAATCTTCTATCTTATAATATAATTATATTATCAGGAGAATATTCATAAGACGTTGGACCTTGAAGATATCAAGAAAGAGGTTGAAAGCAATGCAACGACAAGCGTTCCCAAATTCAATAAGTGGAATCCAGGTGATATGGTTGCAGTCAAAGTGGAAGCATATGAAGATATAACGGAATCAGAAAACAACAACGATGATGACTCCGTGAGAGATGAAGATATAGCTATAGATGAGGATATAGCTATAAATGAAGATATAGCTAAGGATAAAGATATAACCAAGGATGAAGATATAGCCAAGGATGAAGATATAACCAAGGATGAAGATATAACCAAGGATGATGATATAGTCAAGGATAAAAAGACGAAGAAGATCGCGCGAAAAACGATATGTAAGCGGGGAAAATCCATGTAAGAGTTTTATGATTCTCTCATTGATGATATTATGGAACTTAAGGTCTTCTCATCTAGCAAAATACATTGCGATCAGTGCGACAAGTTCTTCTACAACGAGCAACGCTACCAGGCGCATGTCCGGGTACACCAGGGTCTAAAGCCGGCCACGTGCGAATTATGCAACAAAGAATTCGCAAAGTTTACCTACCTCAAAGTGCACAATGAGCTGGTACATGCGGAAGTAAAGAAGCGTGTCATGTGCGATGTCGACGACTGTGGACTTACGTTTGCCACCCTGGCCGGGATGACGGCTCACAAGGCTTTGAAGCATTTGGGCAAGCAGATTCCCAAACGGCGACACATATGCGAATACTGTGGAAAGGTTTACTTGAACGCTACCTTGTTGAATGGCCATCGCAATAAGCACGAGGGGATCAAAAAGCATACCTGTGCTATTTGCGGGCGGTCGCACGATAGTCGCCACAAGCTGAAGCTTCATTTGGTGCGTCATGAAGGTAATTAAATCTATTGTTAGTAGAACATTTTAAGCTTAGGCACCTGTTTCTCATTAGGCATTAAACAGTTTCAATGTTCAATATGTGGTTTGAAGCAAATTTCGGCCGGTCAGTTGAAAGTTCATATGAACCGGCACACCAAGGAGAAGAAATACCCATGTGAGCTGTGTAAAGCCGTTTTCTACAGTTCGGGTAAGTGTAGTAGTAGTAAGTAAGTATATTATAGCTTATGCTTTTTATCACTTCCAGGCAACAAAAGCCGGCACGTGAAGCTGGTCCATCACGGCGTCAGAAATTTCAAGTGCACCTACTGTAACCGAGTATTCGGAAAGGCCGAAACTCTTAAAAACCACGTCATGATCCACACGGGAGAGAAACCACACGCTTGCAATCTTTGCGGGATGCGATTCATTCAGTTGGTAGCCGCGAAAAAGCACATGAGAACACACAATAAATAACTATCAACAACAGATCGTCGTTGGTCAATACTGCATTTCGTAGAAGAGTTTAGAAACGGGTCCCTTCCTTAAAACAGTAAGTAGGATTTTCTTTCAACGGCAGAAACACTGGTTATTTATTCACCTCAAATCGGTTACCGCTAGTCTTTTATTTTCCTCAAGTTTCTTAGAACCTATAATGCGCTTAAAATATAGAGTGCTTTTTGTCAGGTGCGCTACAATCGCGCTTACACGTACTTGGTTTGTAATACCGTTGTTGTAATCCTCCCCACTTTAGAAAAGAAATAACCAATGCCCCATCAAATATTTCAGCTAAGGTTCTTCGTTTTCCCGGTTCCTTTTTTCCCGAAATACTAAACGATAACGAGCATAATACCTATAATATAATATATGTATACTTAACTTACGCACAAACTCCATCCGCTCCATTCCGTTCTGCAGTCCTTCCTCACTAGTTTCCACCCTTGGCCTTAGGCGATCCGGTCCATCGTGAGCTTCTTGTCGCTGAGCGCTAGCGTATCCTTGATAATGACCACAAGCAACGGTATACTCCCGAGCACCATGCACACACCCATACAGTAGAAACAGATCTCGTAGCCCCCGGACAAGTCCCGCATAAGACCTGGAGAATGTTGTGTATTAATTTGTTCGAAAAGTGTAACATGTATTGATTATATTTAGGTTTATTATCACACGAGGGCGGAATCACACGAGGGTGGAAGACGACGTTGATGACGGATGGTTGACGACCATGACCATGACCACGACACGCGAAACGGAAGACACGTTTATATATGCATATAAGAAAAGAAGAGAACGGAAAGAGAAAGAAAGGGAAAAGATACAGAATCTGTCCTCTCTCTGTGGGAGGGAGTGGAATGTTTGGTTTCGACCGAATCGGATCCTAGTTTCTCATGTGTGTCTTGAATGTGTTTCACTTTGGATCGTCACTAGGTGGTCCGAAACGGATCGAAGTATAAACCTGCTAGTGGTGGCACCGAGATAGCACCAATACTCTGAAACATCCGAACCAGCCCGTAGCTCGAGCTGATCCGATCCGTCCCGAACAGGTCGGCCAACAGCACCGGCATCAGTAGGTACCAGCTTCCCAGGCACAGTCCGTAGCATCCGGCACTGCACACGACCACGATCCACGCATCGCTCGAGGGGATCGTCAGCACGGCCGTGCCGGCTCCCAAAATACTGTAACGAAAAAATTCGATTACAACGCTTCCGAAGATTGCAAAGGATGGGGGACCTACCAAACAATGTAAGCCTTTTTCCGGTCGAACAGATCCAAATCAGATAGCCACCCGAGAGCTAAACGTCCGATCAAATCCAGCGCTGCGCTGACCGCTACCAAGTATCCTGCCTCGGATTTCGTGTAACCTGTAATGGGAAAGAGAATGTAGAACTGTTAAAGAAAGTCTATCATCATCGTCGCGGGAGTCTTAGTCACGTGACTCGCAAAGTGAATCTAAATCTATGCTAATTTAGGATGATTTGAAGAATGTTTTTTGTTCTGGTTGCAAGTCAACCAGGAAAACCAGGAATGAGTCGGGATTTTATTTGCACCAGGAAAAAAATCGGGAATTCGAAAAATCTTGTTTCTGGGATTGCAATAGCTTCTGAATTTCACATACCTAGGTGTTTTCATAAACATTTTACGAATCAACTGGATTCGGCGACAAGAGCTACGTTACTTCGTTGATTGCAGAATCGAGCGCAAATTGATTGCTGGGTGAAACGGGGAGAAGTTCACTACCGAATATTTTTCCAACCATATGTTTGGCACGCATAGACAAATTGACAAATTGTTCCAATGTTCCTTGGACATCTACAAAGTTCCCTTATCTTTACTTCTTAATCAACTTCCTCCAAGAGGTTCCATCAACTTCTTCCAAGTTCCATAATTATGTTTATTCCAAGTTCTCTCTATTCGACCATGATCTTAGGACATCCATAACCTCCAAAATTTAGGAAAGATCTTGAGTCCTCAGGAAAACCTACGAATTTTCCTAAACATCTGGTTGAATTCATCATCAGCTGATAAGCATCCACATGACTGTTATCCAAATAAAGGATATGATGTCTTGCAAATGCTTTAAATTAGATTTGAAATTCGATTGTTAACATTTTCATATCGAATAGCCATGACAGCCATTCTAACACCGACAAATCCACATGACTGACCATTAGACTGATGCAAAATTTGAAATTTTCGCTCCACAGTGTTCAAACGGTTTCAAATCAGGTCCTGATTAGCCTCCGAAAGTTTAAACTCATTTGATAAAAAAAAAATGACTTGGCACAAACCATTTGAAGTTTATATGGAAATTACTATGGGAATACAAAACTTTTTGTTCACTGTCTTCCAGCCTTTTTACATATTGTACTGTTAACAAATTCTATTGCTATTCTTATGGGAATTTTTATCAGCTACGACTTTGCAGAAAATCGTTTTTCAGCCAAACGTCAAATTAAATAGTTATTAATTGTTTTAGAGATTGATAATCTAATGGCAAGATTAAGCAACTGTATTGTGGGCAACACTGTATTCTGCAGTGTAACATAGTAGCCATGATTTTTGTCTTCTATTCTACGCGCCATAAACATCAATGTTGCCTGCTGAACAGTTGATTGAGCATAATCATAAGAAATCAGTGACTTGAACCATAATAATTTTTGTTCCTTACATTTGATTGAAAAATGGTCTTCAACAAAGTTGTAACTGAGAAAATTTTCAACAAGCTCAGTTATCATTTTTTAAAGTAAAGTGAACTGGTAAACTTTGAGATAGATTTGAACCGAAATTATGATTTCTCCATAGTAATTCCAATATAAACTTCAAATGGATTGTGCCAAATCAGTTTCTCGCTAAATGAGTTCAAATTTTGGGAGGCTAATAAGGGCCCAATTTGGAACCGTTTGAGCACTGTGGAGCGAAAATGTCAAATTTTGCATCAGTCTAATGACCATAGCAAAAACATTAGAATTTCTGACCAAAGCACACTACTGACATCTGGCTCCGTGTTCGCGGGAAATATTTAGCTAAGTTATGAAACCGCATGCAAAAATCGATACAAAAATCGATACAAAAATCGTTTGTTGATAGAGGAAATTTCCTACACAACGAAAGAGACAATAGTTGTAGTAAAATTACGTTTATTTTCCATTGATTATGATTCTACATTGTTCATACATTGTTGGTACTGCCTACGAATGATGTTGCGGAGTCTAATGAGGTCTTTAGTGGGCCTGTCAAGGTTCAGGGTATTACCAACCTGGCTACCAACTACTTGACTAGCCTATTGGTCCCAAGTACATCTAAGCACACCCTATTCTAGTTGAATTTCTAGTACTACACTATGTTTTTTTTTATTCGCTATGAAAGTTTGACAGATAAAATGAGGGGTTCGTTGATTTTTCTATGTTTCGAGGGGTGCATTGATTAGCTTGGGATAGAAGATAGTGCCAGAGCTGAGCCAAAAAGTTGAGCACGTTGCTTCGGGACCTTCTGGTTACCTCTATGTTAGTACCGTTCCCAAATCACCACGATGTGGAAAAGGGTCCGAGTGTTTTGAAGGTCCTTCAAGCTTGTTAAATTCCTTTCCAGGTGGACCAGATACCGCTAGTCGCGGTACTTACGTGAAGCGTCATGAAGATTAATCGCGAAGATGTTGATTTTCTTGAGTCCATGTTGCTTCAATTCATGACTGTTTCCATGTCGGGAAGACCACGCAAGACCACCTTGAGCGGCTTGGTTGCCTCAATATCGTGGGAGAAACACCGGAGAAATACTCCACGTTTTTCTGCATCAGCAACGCCTAGACGGCCTTGTCGTTGTTCATCGCTGGGACCATCAGCTTGATGCCGGCAGTCCTTAATGAAATAATACCATACCCGAACGATAACCCAAATGATATAAGTGTATCACAAATGGTTGGGATGATACCCTGAACACGTCGTTAAGCAAAATCACCATACAAAGGCGCATGGTACACTTGAGACCTTCACCGATTTAAAAGTCAATTTTCTCCCACAAGCCTTCCGGAAATCCTTTTACGAAGAACGGAGGAACCATAGAGGTAACTCTAAGACCAGAAGGTCCCGAAGAAACGAGTTCCACTTTTTGGCTCAGCTCTGGTACTATCTTCGGTCCTAAGCTAATCGATGCTCCCCTCGAAACATAGGAAAATCCACGAACCCCTCATTTTATCTGTCAAACTTTCATAGCGAATCAAAACAAACATAGTGTAGTACTGGAATTTATACTAGAATAGGGTATGTTAATCGATTTGCTTGGGACCAATAGGCTAGTCAAGTAGTGAACCAATTTAAAATCCTTAGTATCGTATTGATTGTTGGTGGAACATTCTCCTTCTTTTCCACCTTCGGTTTATCGCCGTTTCCTAGGATGGCGTAATGATTGAGCGCGAACACTATCGCAACAAACTAGCGATCTACTCGAGAGAGCGAGTAAAAACCGAACTGTACTGCTTGAGATGCCAGATTTATTTCTATGCAATTCCGTAGATTTTTTTCAAATCTACGGATTTTTTTTAGTCGGAGGTGATATTTTTTTTTTGTTTACGTTCAATGATAAATCGATGAAAGAACTTTTGAAAAACTAGGGACAGCCCTTTGGATTTTGGTGACGTAGGACTACGTAGTCTTATATAATAAATGTTATTTGCAGGAATTTGTGTTTTGTGTTGGAATAGGAATTTGAGCGGGGTTCTCTCTGTTTATACTATAGTATGACTTACCTCTATGGTATGACTATGATTGCCCTGAAAAGAGGCCTTTGATATGAATTTTAGTTGGGACATGTTCAGAAACTTAACTCTTTTGGTCTTGGTGGCCCTGAAAAGGGCCGATGGTAGTACAGGCATGAATACCATGATACTGTTGCACCTGTAGTTTTTGGCATACTTTCACTGATTGCTTCCCGGGGATCCTTGTTCAGCTATAGCAAGATTTCAATTCCTGGATAGGATCTGTTAAGTCATTGCCATTGTGTCCTTCTGACAATCGATGTAGGAGATTCAAAAAATGGTGCCACTTTATCTCATTTGCACTGAGTGTGAGGAACATCGTAGGCTTTCCTAATTGTCGCATCTTGGTGAATAAATTTCTCTTCCTTTGTTGCCAATTCTGTACTGAAATCGGTATTGATTTGAGGAAGGATAGATTTCGCTCAATGCACTGCTCGATGAATAAGGCGGTCCTTAAGGTTGACACGTGTAAAGTTTGCGGTCCCCGTGCACTTAAAAGTGAATTGCAAGTCTTCGGAAACTCTAAGGCGATGAACTTTCATTGTCATATACAACAAATGTTGTGGTTTGGCCACACGCCTGTCTTGACGACGAGTTTCACTGGATGCCATCATGAAATATGTCACCCGAACCCCTGACTTGAATTTCCGTACATGGCCGAGACATATGGCAGGCAAAGCTATCTCTTCACCGTGCTCGTCATAAATTAATGACAGAGGAACCCTGTTTTGCGGGGGAGCGATCTCCAGGCATTTGTCCTCATTCCAAAGGAGCGTTTCCTCGGTGCTCAAGCAGCAATTCTGTCTCATTATCCACGGCAATGGTTTCCAGCTCAATTTGAGGATCCACTGCAGGGGTTTCAAGACCATCTATGGTAATCTGATCAATTGTGATCCTGTAGCGGTGGTACAGTGAGGTGCCATTTGATGAACAAGTTGAAGGCCTGATCATCATCGAGCTGACGGGGCGTCTTTCTTACACAACGCAAACGGTAGAACAACATTCGAGCAAAAAGAAGATTATCAAAAAACTATCATATGACATATGTGATTTCGTTCTAACGACGTTCTTGCGACGTTGACAAGTTGCAGAGGTGTATTTTACTTTATGCTTCTTTCCCTTCAGAATCAGATTATGCTCTAGATTGTAAAATTCGATACTGAAGTGAGACGTACAATGAAGAGAAAAATCCGTAGAAACTGTACCGAATTCCGTAGCTGTTGCCTACGGATCCGTATTTCCGCAAAAAATTGTAAAATCCGTAGATCTACGGAGATTTCCGTAGATCTGGCATCTCTGTGCTTGACGGTCAACAAGAGAATGAGACGAAATAGACAACCTTCGGTTTCCACGCTTAACCAATGGTCGGCGAATTCGTTTATTATCGGTGTTGGAACCAAATCCAACCCAGTGCGAAACCGAACTTTTTGTCAGTGCGAACCTCAACCTGAGGTATGTTTTAAAAACAAACCATCAAACTGACGTTTGCCTTAAAACAAGCAGGCCCAATCTTGATACCCGATCCAGGTTGGAATTGAATAATAAACAAATTCGCTATATGTGGAAACATCCTCGTTTGTCAGCGCAGATCAGCAAATGACGTTCGACCAAGGAGCAATCAACTCTGCACATTGTGCCGAAACACATCGTGGAACACTGATCGGCGGGTCATGACACACGATGACAAGTATGACACAAAATCAGTGTTGGCAAAATCAGAAATCAATTGATATTTTCCGCTCTCATGGGCTCGCAATATCACGCGTGATATTGGAACAACATATCATCATAGAGGTAACTCCAAGGGTAACTTTAAGACTAGTAGCATAGTACTAGAATTTCGACTAGAATGGGGTACGTTAATCGTTTGCTTGGGACCAATAGGCTAGTCAAGTAGTGAGCCAATTTAAAATCGTTAGTTTCGTATTGATTGTTGCTAGTAGGTCCCGAAGAAACGTGCTCAACTTTTTGGCTCAGCTCTGGTACTATCTTCCGTCCCAAGTTAATCGATTCACCCATCGAAACATAGAAAAATCCACTAAACTGAACTAGTCAGAGTCACCACGCCCCGCAGAATTAACTAGAATTAAGTATTAACTCGATGGCCATAGGCTCCGGACCGAGAAACAATTGTATGGGTAAGAAGCAGACCAGTGACAAGGCCTATACCAACAGCAGCGTTTGACAGTAGACAGCATGTCCCGGGCTCAAAACGTTCATTTTGCTGTGCTGGGCCCGCTGTCATGGTATAACATGTTACCTACGCGCCTGCCACTGGGTTGGTAAGAAGCATTGAAGCGATGATATACGGTGTTAACAACACCCTGTGTCGAACGATCCCACCATTCTTCAGATGTATCTGCAATCACAGCTGTTTCTCCAGCAGAACACCCCGGTTAGATTGATGGTTCACCAATCAGTCAGCCGAACAGCTCATTCTATGAATTGAACTCGGATTCGATTGAATGTGGAGGTCTCTCTACGCTGTTTCGCAACTGTTCGTATCACCGACGGCAACAGCAACATTAAGAAAGATGCTACTAACAGAATTGTGAAGTTAACCACACCGGAGGTAACAAATCTGCAAATCTGAATCGCGGTCTAATGAACACAATAGGAACAAGCAGCAGTTTCAGGGAGATTAATATGCGATTCCGGCATGACCATGAATAGAAAATATGAAGGAACAACAAGGTAGTCATCAAACGACTGGAACCAGTATCGAGTCAGACGAATTTAGTAGGTACCTAACCACGACTGCTGACACCGGGAAGCTACTGTAGGTCTATTGCTGCTACTACTACCGCCGGTGGGCATTTTAGGTCGAGTCATTCCTATTTTTAAGACTGTAGCATTGCCCAAGTAGCATGATGATATTGCAGACAAGATCTTCCACTTGCCGGTGGGGTACTTGGCTTCGGAAAACGTCTGCCAGAATGACGCACAGTAGAGAACTATCTTCTCATGAATGGACACGAGCTCAGTAGGTAGGTATAAAAACTAAAAAAAAAAACTAGAAGGAAACGATAGACAGGACACGTCGCAGTAAGCATACCGGATAACAATCCCTCAAAGAGGATCCCATGCAATGGTTGGAGCCAGATCTGGGAAATGTGGCTGTGTGGGACGATCGAAAAATCGGAGACAAGCGGCCACAAACCGAATTCATTGGGCGAACATTGTACAGCAGCTCGATTATCATCAAAGGCACCAGGGAAAGTAAAGCAATTAAAACGGATAAATCAATTACCTACACTTTCTATACAATCGAATGTGATCGTTGATGGTATTTTATTTACAAAATACAAGAGTTAAACACTTCTGTAACCAACCGTTTACGATTTCGCGGTTAACCTTCACTCTTCCCAACTTTTTGGTCTCTTAAACTTTAGGTATCACATTTCCTTCGGGACCTGAAACGAAATATCTGCGTTGGTCATACTGGCGGAGCCATCTTAAATGATTCTACTACCTTCAAATCAACCGAATTCCTTGATTTCCGCCCGCATAGCTACTCGTACTGCCTCGACCTCCCCCGCAGGTGATTCTATCCAGGAAGTTACACTGCGGCACCACTTCTCCAATCCATTCCGGTTCGATTTCGCTCACCGTCCGCAGGTAGTGCATTCCCGTCACAACCAGCTCCGTGAACAGCACATATCCGGGCCGGGCTCGTCCACTCAGGACACTGGAGGGATGTATTTTCGACAGCATTCGATTGGATAGGGTCAAGTAGGAGTTGTCCCGCTGCAGTTCGGCGATGTTCCTGTTCAGACCGGTCAGGAGGCATTTGACGGCGGGAATGGGATCGTTACCGCAGGAACTGAACTGCAGGCCCAGCGTGTGGCAGATGTCGCTCAGCTGTGTCCGGACGGAAGCCGCGTGGGAGAGATTGCGCTCCAGGAGGAAATTATCGAAGCACCAACGTTTGGGTTTGTCCTTGGTTTTGTACTCGTTGAACACATTCAGAAGGGTTATGTGATCACCACACTTGGCGTGGAACTTGGAATGGGCGGCTAAGAGCTGTTCCCGTCGTTGGTTGTTGTTGAGGAACACGTTCTCGCCGGAGAGCATGGCGATGATGGTGAGGATTTCCTCGAGGCAGCCGAATTCGGAGGCACTGAGAACGATTTTGGCGTACTTGGGATCCAATGGGAGTTTGGCCATTTTGCGTCCGATGGTGGTTAGGGCAGGTGTGTCAGCGGAGAGGATCGCACCAAGACTTTTCAGTTCTTGCAGAGCGCTTTCGATGGCATTGAGGGGAGGTTTGTCTAGAAAATCAAACTCCCGGCAGTCGATTCCGAGGGCTAGCAATTGAAGCGTGGATGCAGCAATACTGCAACGAAGGATCTCCGGTTTGCTGTTTGGATCCATAGCATTGAAGTCCTCTTTGGAATAGGTCCGATAGCAGATGCCGTCTTCCAGACGCCCTGCGCGTCCCACCCGTTGCCATGCTTGAGCTTTTGATATCCAGGTAACTTTTAGGGTGTCGATTCCAGTAACAGGATCGTATGCCCGAAATTTCGCCATTCCGCAATCGATAACATATTTGATGCCCGGTATGGTGATGGATGTCTCGGCGATATTCGTGGCAAGAATGACCTTTCTTGTGTTCGGTGGGGCTGGTAAAAAAGCATCCATCTGACTATTCTGCGACATTGCAGCATACATCGGATAGACAACTAACCGTGGAAGGTCTCGCTGTTGCTGCTGCTGTTGTTTAACCAATCTTCGGATAATCATAGCTGTAGATTCAATCTCCTCCTGGCCCGTCAGGAACACCAAAATGTCCCCTTCTGATTTTTGAGTCTCGTGTATTTGAAAAATGGTTGTGATACACGCTTCCACATAGTGAACATTATCAATTGCTTGGAATATTCTTACAATAAAGTTCCTTCCTTTCAGGAAGAGCGTCGGGCATTGGTTGAAATACTGCGAGAAATGATCAACATCCATCGTAGCAGACATAATAATAATCTTCAGTGGTTCTAGCAGCTTCGTTCTTCGTGTTTGTTGTGCCTTCTTCACTATACCAAACAGTACATCCGTCGCGATTGTCCTCTCGTGCGCTTCGTCCAGAATGACCACATTGTAATTCTTCAGCAGCTGATCCGACATGGCTTCCCGAAATAGCCGTCCGTCGGTCATAAACTTGATCTGTGTATTTTCCGACGTAACATCCTCGAATCGAACCGAATAGCCCACGACGTCGCCAATGGTCGACCCCTGCTCCTGTGCTACCCTCTTCGCCACTGTTATTGCTGCCACTCTGCGGGGTTGCGTTATGGCAATCATCTTGCCCTGGTTGATTCCTGATTCGAACAAGAATTGCGGCACCTGGGTACTCTTGCCGGAACCGGTGTCGCTCAGCAGAATCGTCGTTTGGTTTCGTTTCACCGTATCAATAATGTTTTTCCGGACTTGGTAGATAGGCAAACCCTGCCGATGCAGACTGATTAGCCGAGCACTGGGAGGTTGCTTGAAAGTGGGTGTTCCGTTGGTTTGTTCCGATGAACCACCGGAGGAACCCGCAGTCATATCCTTGGGATAGGCGCGCTTCATGGAAATCACTACTTTTGGTCACTTTTTCTCGATTTTTTCAGCGAAAAACGCGCACGAGAGGATTGTTTTCACGGTTTTCACGCTCTTTTCAGCTCGACATGAGGCTTTTTCTGAATGAGCAGAAGGAAAAAAAGAAGTCGTAGGTATGTCATTTGACGATATGTGATGCGAGCGGAGAGCCGAGACACGAATCGATTGTTTTCGAAGACGCAAACTGCGCATGCGTGGCGCCATCCGTGTGAAAATTGAAGACATGACATGTACTGGGTTCATTTCCAATTTTCGAATGAGCGTGCGATGAACTTTTGACAGAGGGACAGATCGAAAATTGTGTTCAATGAAATCGCATCAATAGACGCCAAACATAGCGTCAAGCTATGCAAATAAATGCGATGTATTGCCGCGGATACACTTGCATGACAATCTATGAACATAGCGGCGCCGATGGTGTATTGGTAAGCGTGATTACCTCTCACCCCAGCAGGCCTGGGTTCAATCCCAGTCGGCGCCGCCGGGATGTTCTGAGGCATATCATCTCTGATCACGTCTTTCTTCGGAAGGGATGTTCTGAGGCATATCATCTCTGATCACGTCTTTCTTCGGAAGGGAGGTAAAGCCGTTGGTCCCCGGTTCATGAGTTGATGGGTCGATAGGTGGGGGGTCTAGGTGTAGGAGCTGCCTTCCTGGCGTCGGTAGCATTGGTGCTCAGCATGGAAAACAAGATCGATGGAAAACATACCAAGGAAAAAAAATCTATGAACATGAGCATTATTTCAGTGCCAACATTTTAAAGGGGCGTAAAAATTGTACGTAAATGTTTACACGTTGAAGCTAAAATACCCTTATTAAAATACTCAAAAATACCTCGAAAATACTTTGTACACGAAAAATATATTTCATAATTAATTGAATACACTTTAATACAAAAATACACATAACTCAAAAATACAGAAATATGAAAAAATACAAAATACACCTTTTCAAGTCGGGTATATGAATCGAAAATACTGAAGTTAACAGCCCCTCGGGCTAAAGCCATTGTTTGCAAATGCAGCTACGCCCTTTGAAATGTTGGTACTGATTTGTATAATAAATTATAAGCAAATCCAAAAACTATACCAGTGTGACCACGGATGTGCTCATAATTTATTATACACACAATGCTCATGCTCATTAGACTGATGCAAATTTTGACTTTTTCGCTCCATAGTGCTTAAATGGTTTCAAAACGGGTCCTGATTAGCCTCCCAAAGTAACAACTCATTTGGTTAGAAACAGACTTCGCACAAGCCATTTGAAGTTTACATGTAAATTACTATGGAAAATCTCAACTTTATGTTCATTGCCTTCTATTCTTTTTCCATATTGAGCTGCGAAACAGTTCGATAACCATTTTTATAGAAAATTTTCTCAGCTACAACTTTGCTGAAGATCGTTTCTATTAATTATTTAAGAGATTGGTAAACTTATGACATGATCAAGCAGTTGCTCTGTAGGCAACACTGTATTTTGCAGTGTGACATAGTAGCCATGATTTTTGTGTCCTATTCAACGCCCCAGAAACACCAATGTTGCCTGCTGAGCAGTTGATTGAGCATGATCATAAGACATCAGCGCATTGAACTATTGATAACATTCGATCCTTGCATTTAATCAAAAAGTGGTCTTGAGCAAAGTTGTAGCTGGGAAAATTTCCTACAAGTACAATTGAAAGTTTTCGAAGCAGACCGATATAGTGAATTATTAGATAGACATGAACAAAAATCTTGGTTTTACCATAGTAATTCCCATACAAACTTCAAATGGTTTGTGCCATCTCAGTTTCTCACCAAATGGGTTCAAATTTTGAGAGGCTAGTCAGGATCCGATTTGGAATCGTTTAAGTATTGTGGAGTGAAAATTTCAAATTTTGCATCACTCTAATGCTCATAGATCGTAATACAAGCAAAGATGAATACTAAGATGAAACTGTCGGAAGAAAAACTTTCTATTTTAGTGTCCTCTTTCACGGTCCCTTTCATCCATTGAATACCCCTCGTATTCAAGGTAATTTTGTGGTTTTGCTGCCCCTTCGGTAGAGATGAAATTTTGCGCTCATTTTTATCAAAATAAACACACCAAAATCAGAGGTGTCTCATTTTTTAATTACTCGATTAACAACTAATCGATTTTTTTGTTTGTTGTGCTGCACTTTTTCCACCAATGAGAGTGCAGCACTTGTTTGAAACGATCGGTGATGATCCTTTGGAGAAGTTAATGCTTATATCGGCATGATTAAACCGATTGCAAATATTTTACTTTTCGGTTCGTTAATCGATTAATCGATAATTCGAATGAAAATCGGCCATCACTAGATGAATGTGTGTATGTGTGAAAATTGTTGAGGAAATGCGTGGTGAAAGGATGTTGCTCGTGTACATTGCAAAAGTGTGGTTTACAGCTCACTGCAATCTGAAAAATGATCCAGAAAATCTACCCAAGAAAAAATCGACTAAGTCCACGTAAACAGTACCACTGAACTGTCATCAGATTGAGGTTAACCCCGACGGTGCAAAACCTAATTAGGTTTTGCACCGTCGGGGTTAACCTCAATCTGATGACAGTTCAGTGGTACTGTTTACGTGGACTTAGTCGATTTTTTCTTGGGTGGATTTTCTCGATAATTTTTCAGACTGCAGTGAGATGTACACAGCATTTCTGCAATGTTCACGAGCAACATCCTTGCAACGCGCTGTTCCTCGACAATTTTCAAGTTAAAATTCAGAAACCTTAGAAATTTTTTTTCGAAAAAACGACTAAGTGCTTGTAAACAGTACCACTGAACTGTCAAAAAGGTTCAGCCGTTTAACACTGAGTTCATTTGTGACGTCACGCTGCAGAACCTAATTAGGTTCTGCAGCGTGACGTCACGAATGAACTCAGTGTTAATCGGCTGAACCTTTTTGACAGTTCAGTGGTACTGTTTACAAGCACTTAGTCGTTTTTTCGAAAAAAAATCTAAAATTTACGAATTTTAACTTGAAAATTGTCGAGGAACAGCGCATTGCAAGGATGTTGCTCGTGAACATTGCAGAAATGTGGTTTACATCTCACTGCAGTCTGAAAAATTATCGAGAAAATCTACCCAAGAAAAAAACGACTAAGTCCACGTAAACAGTACCACTGAACTGTCATCAGATTGAGGTTAACCCCGACGGTGCAAAACCTAATTAGGTTCTGCATCATGACGTCACGAATGAACTCAGTGTTAATCGACTGAACTTTTTTGACAGTTCAGTGGTACTGTTTACAAGCACTTACACACTTAAATTTTTTCACCGAGATTCAAACAGCCGAGTAGTTCTGAAATTTATTTGACTGAGGTGCAGTAAAACAATTGCCGAGACTCAGCTAACAAATATCATTTTGCTGAGATATCAGCTAACTAACAGATATTTTGCAAATATATCAGCAAAAGTAAATGCCGAGGTAATCGGCTGTTGGAGATTTTACCGAGCTAGATTAAGTGTGTAGGCTGTGAACCATTTGCCGAGTTAAATTTAAGGCTCTGAACCATTTGGTGGATTATTTTAACTTTTGGTTAAAATTTGACAGATGAAAAGTTATCGATTAACCCTGCTATCCGAGCATGGTTATTTCTGACAGACAAGAAGTTAAATTTTGACAACCGTGGCTCGAAAACCGGTCGATCGACAGCACGGGGATTTTCGAACATAGAAAATAACTTTCGAAATTTCACTTTTAACCACGAGTTAAATTTAACTCGGCAAATGGTTCACAGCCTAACTCATGGTTAAAAGTGACATTTCGAAAGTTATTTTCTATGTTCGAAAATCCCTGTGCTGTCGATCGACCGGTTTTCGAGAAGAACTCAGCCACAGTTATCAAAATTTCACTTCTTGTCTGTCAGAAGCAACCACGCTCGGATAGCAGGGTGAATCGATAACTTTCCATCTGTCAAATTTTAACCAAAAGTTAAAATAATCCACCAAATGGTTCAGAGCCTTAGGCTGTGGTCCATTTGGTGAATTTTCACTTAAATTTGACACTTCGAAACTAAATTATAATGTTCGAAAATCCCTCTGTTGTTGATCGGCCAATTTTCGAGAAGGTGTGTGTCAAAATTGATTCCTTGTCTGTCAGATATAAGTCTGCTGGAATAGCAGGTTAATTTGGAAATTTTCCATCTGTCAAGTTTAAGTGAAAATTCGCCAAATGGAACACAGCCTTAGTCGTTTTCGAAAAAAAAAATTCTAAAATTTCCGAATTTTAACTTGCAAATTGTCGAGGAAAAAAGGATGTTGCTCGTGGACAATGCAGACATGTGGTTTACATCTCACTGCAGTCTAAAAAATTATCGAGAAAATCTACCCAAGAAAAAATCAACTAAGTCCAGGTAAACAGTACCACCAACCGGTGAACACTCGTGTTTATTTCAGTTACCATGGAGACGTAATTTGTGATTAGCCCCGGTCCCTTTCAAATTGTATCATTACTTATGAACGGCCTTTAATTTGAAATGACGTTTCACATTCATCTAGTGATGTCCGATTTTCATTCGAATAATCGTTTAATCGATTAACGAACCGAAAAGTAAACTATTTATAATCGGTTAGATCATGCCGATATAAGCATTAACATCTCCACAGGATCATCACCGATCGTTTCAAACATGTGCTGCACTCTCATTGGTGGAAAAATGGCAGCACAGCGAACAAAAAATAATCGATTAGTTGTTAATCGAGTAATTAAAAATGGGACATCTCTGATTTTGGTGTGATTGTTTTGATAAAAATGAGCGCAAAATTTCATCTCTTCCGAGGGGGCAGCAAAACCACAAAATTACCTTGAATACGGGGGTTCTCATTGGATGAAAGGGACCGTGAAAGAACACACTAAAATAGAAAGTTTTTCTTCCGACAGTTTCATCTTAGTATTCATCTTTGGTACCACCAACAATCAATTCGAAACTATCGATTTTAAATTGGCTCTCTACTTGGTCCCAAGCAAATCGATTAACCTACCCCATTCTAGTCAAAATTATAGTACTACACAATGTTTGTTTTGATTTGCTATGAAAGTTTGACAGATAAAATAAGGGGTTAGTGGA